TTTCTTAGGTAAAGACCTAATGTAACCGAAAATGTCCACATTCAGCAATTGACTTTTGTATGTTAATGAAGGCAAATTATACATATAATACAGTGGTGAAGCAAGGGCTCCAAACTAGGGCAAGCCCAAGATAGGGTTTTTGTTGTTTTTAGCAGTTTAATAAAAATACACCAATCTTGAGCTGTCTCCACTCTTTAGTTTCATATTCAGTGATGACAAGGACGTGTTTAACAAAGCACACAGAAAGCATACTACCGCTAGATAGATTGCATGACATAATATGCAATTGCACACCTTCGGTGGTTTTGAAAAGAGCCGTTTGGGTTTGCAATACATGAACAAAGTACAAACTATGTACAAAGTTAAAAAAGGGACGCCTGGCAGATGTGAAACCTCGAAATTATATTTTGTTTAAGTTATATGCATAAAAGAACAGATTACGACAGGAATTAGATAGTTATAATGAGAAGATAAAGCTTTGCTAATTTTTTACCATAAAATAATGACTATTTATTATAATTATAATTATTCATTTTCAATTCATAATAAACCGTACAAAACGATATTTTTAAAATCATATATCATTATAAATTAGCCGATAGCGTATTTGTGCCATCTAGCGTAATCTTTAGGTACCATCGTGAGAATCAACAAATTTTCGTTCGATAAAATGACTTTACGTATAGAATTAAGTAGATGGCGCCATTAAAATTGATGAATGAAAAGTAGACAGAGAAACCTAACTGAAAATAACTAAAGGGAGTACTATTCTTTAAAAACCTCAATACATTATTCTGTATTCTTTTGATTTATTTAATTAAAATTTGGGCTTCAAGTTAAAAAAAGATTGTAACACTTATTTCCTCTAAAATTAAACCTAGGTCTCATACTTTCATGCTGCTGTTCAAATCGATATTTTTAATTCGTATGGTAATATTAATATTGAGTTATTAAACCTTTAAATACGCCTAACTTAACACAGCCGTGCAGTGGCGGTTGAGAATATCCACTACCCCATATCTTCCCGTGGGTGTCGTAAGAGGCGACAGAGGGACACAGAAAGGAGATGGGCAGCAGCATCCTAATAACAACAATAACATAAAAAAAACTGCGGTTGCCAACCCGCTCGCCAAGCGTGGCAACTATGGCAAATATCCCCCCATGAGCAACGACGCAAATAAACGACCCCTAGTCCCCGGCGGCCCCGCTATTCCTGGCTACGGTGGAGACCATGGTAACGGCGGGGCATGGGTGGAGGTTCGGTTGCCACTCGCCCTGACTCGAGAAGATACTGGAGCTGGAAGAAGAGGTAGACAATTTGCGCTGGTATATTATAGGATTATATGAGGTCCGAAGAGAGGGGGAGGACACGGTAATACTCGAGTCAGGAAACTTGTTCTATCACCGGGAGGGCGACCATCTGTCCCAAGGAGGTGTCGGATTTATCGTCCACAAGTCTCTCGTCAACAACGTTGTAAAGATTGGGAGTGTGTCGACGAGGGTCGCGTACCTGATACTCAGAATCACCAAACGGTACTCGCTGAAGGTCATACAGGTCTACGCACCAACCTCGGCACATCCCGATGAGGAGGTGGAGGAAATGTATGAGGATATTTCTAGAGCCATGCATTCCTCCAAAACCCACTACACGGTGTTGATGGGAGACTTCAACGCAAAACTAGAGAAGACGGTGAGCTGAAGTTAGGGGAAATTTGGAGTAGGGCAACGGAACCGTAGGCGCCAGCAGCTGGCTGACTTTATGGAGAAAGAGGGACTCTTTATGATGAACTCTTTCTTCCAGAAGCGGCCCCACAGGAAGTGGACCTGGTCGAGCTCCGACGGTTCGACAAAAAATGAGATTGACTTCATTATGACGACCAGACGCCAACTGTTCAATGATGTCTCAGTGATCGCAAGGGTGAAAACCGGCAGCAGTCACCGAATGGTTAGAGGCACACTGAACCCTAACGTTAAGTTGGAGAGGTCTCGTCTAATGAAGTCAACGCTCCGTCCCCATCGTGCTCTGATCCAGAATCCTGAGACTTTTCAGCTCGAGTTACGTAACCGCTTTCAGTGCCTAAAAGATTGCAATGCAGTGGACGATATAAATGAGAAGCTCGTGGAAACTGTCCATGCGGTTGGAGCTAAGTTCTGCAAGACCCGCCGCAGAAGAACACAAAAACTCTCCGATCACACTCTTAATCTCATGGCTGTTAGACGGGAGATGAGGCTGCAATCGTCAACAGATTTGACAGCATACAGGCAACTGAACAGACAGATCTCCAAATGCATGCGGCGAGACTTACGCAGCTTTAATACTGCTCGTATTAAAGAAGCGATCGAGCGGAACCAGGGCTCCACAGTCTTTGACAGAGATCTGTCTGCCAGAAAGAGCCAACTGTCAAAGCTGAAGACTGAGTGTGGCAGCATCGTTTCCGAGACACCTGAGATTTTGAGTGAGATTGAGAGGTTCTATGGGCAGCTGTACACATCATCGTTGGAGCCACACGCAAGTGTGAGTAACGATCCAAGAGCAAGTCTTACCCGACACTATTCCGATGATATCCCGGACGTCAGTCTGAGCGAGATTAAAATGGCTCTCCAGCACCTTAAAAACGGCAGGGCCCCAGGCGAGGGTGGAATTACAGCGGAGCTTCTGAAAGCGGATGGAACACCGGTACTTGAAGTCCTTCAGAAGCTCTTCAATTCCGTCCTCCATGGTGGCACTACTCCGGAGGCGTGGAGCAGAAGTGCGGTGGTCTTGTTCTTTAAGAAAGGCGACAACGCTCTCTTGAAGAACTACAAACCGATTTCCCTTCTGAGCCGCGTCTACGTGCTGTTTTCGAGAGTCATTACGAATCGTCTCGCACGCAGACTCGACGACTTCCAGCCTCCCGAACAAGCCGGTTTTCAAAAAGGCTTCAGTACCATAGACCACATACATACCCTGCGGCAGATTGTATAGAATACCGAAGAGTACAATCTGCCACTCTGCCTCGCGTATGTGGACTATGAGAAAGCCTTTGATTCCGTCGAAATTTGGGCAGTGCTACAGTCCCTTCAGCGGTGTCAAGTTGACTGTCGGTATATCGAAGTGCTGCAGTGTTTGTACAGTATGTCTACGATGGCTGTCCGAGTACAGAACCAGAGTTCGAATCCTATCCAACTGCAGAGAGGTGTAAGACAGGGTGACGTTATATGCCCGAAACTCTTCACCGCTGCGTTGGAAGACGTTTTCAAGCTAATGGACTGGAAAGGATACGGTATTAACATTAATGGCGAGTATATCACTCACCTTCGATTTGCCGATGATATAGTCCTTATGGCAGAATCCCTGGAGGACCTTAGCACTATGCTCAATGACCTCAATGGTGTCTCCCAACGGATAGGTCTTAAGATGAACATGGACAAAACAAAGATCATGTTTAATGTCCATGTCACACCTATGCCGGTAGTTGTTGGGAGCACTATGCTCGAAGTTGTTGACGAGTACGTTTACCTGGGACAAATAGTCCGACTAGGTAAGTCCAACTTCGACCGAGAGGTCAATCGACGGATTCAACTCGGCTGGGCAACGTTTGGGAAATTAAGACACATCTTCTCGTCAGGTATACCTCAATCTCTGAAAGCTAAAGTGTACAACCAGTGCGTGTTGCCAGTGATGACTTACGGATCAGAGACGTGGTCCTTCACTGCTGGCCGTATGAGGACGCTCAAGGTCGCTCAGCGAGCTATGGAGAGGGCTATGCTCGGAGTTTCTCTGCGTGATAGACTCAGAAATGAGGATTTCCCCAGTAAAACCAGAGTGACCGACATAGCCCAACGGATCAGTAAGCTGAAGTGGCAATGGGCCGGCCATATAGCTCGAAGAACCGATAACCGATGGAGAAGAAAGGTTCTCGAGTGGCAGCCTCGTACCGGTAGGAGTAGTGCAGGGCGACCCCCCACTAGATGGAGTGACGACCTGGTAAGACATGCAGGAAGTCGATGGATGCAGGTGGCTCAGGACCGTGCTTTGTGGCATTGCTTGGGGGAGGCCTATGTTCAGCAGTGGACTTGTGAAGGGCTGTAATGATAATGATGATGATGATGAACCTACTTAAACTTTAATACTAAAGAGTCCTGTACCTATATTTAAAGTATGAAGAAATGTTTATTGAATAATAATTTCATTTTTAAAGATTTTTACCTTTTCTTCGCTGATTAGCACTTCAACACATTTATATTCATCACAATTAACACTATTATCCTCTCATTTTCACTGAAAATCTTCGAAAAAAAAAAATTCGCATAAATTTTTAACAAACACAACAAAAACAAACATAAACATTGAAATGTGAAGTGAACTTGCATACGAGGGGCCCGCAACCACTTCGCTAGTCGCTAACGCACTCCTAAACAACTTCATGGCAAAGCCAGGCTTGTTGGCTCAATAGTAATTGCTATATAAACATTTTTGATATTTCATTATAGAATATTTTGCCATAGGTTAGAAAGAGAGCGATCGTCTTCTCGAAAGCCCCGTAAAAAGCCCACACGAGTGAGGGAGACAACTAATCGCTCTATTAAAACTCACTTTATGACAGCAGCAGTATCGCCACATACCCTTTATATAAACGTATCGCTAAGGCAATACGAGGTCATCGGTCGACATGTGTCGAACAGTGGAGTGCGCGGGAAAATTGAAATAATTTGAAACAGTTTAGGAGTTATTTTATTAGTTAATATTATTGATTGATTCAGTTTTAATAAGGCAAGCCCGGCTTTGCGGCTTTAATGGAAGCTTCGCCACTGATATAATATGCATCTTTTTGTGTGGTTAAACTAAAAATTATCTTATATAAATACTACGTAAGTATTTATCGTCAAATATTTTCTATTACATCATCATATTATGCTAGGACTTTCTTCAAAACGCCCAGCCATAGTAAGATCTCAATATGGTTCCGAGCTAAATTTTCCTAGTGGCAGGTACAGTTTTGTATTAATGCCTAACTCACCTGAATGTAAATGCATTGCATTAAATGTTCCAATGCAGCCCCGGAGCCGATGCTCCTTGCCAATTTTCCACGTCACGAACAAGGGACTGTAAATAAGACATTACAATTAAAATAGGTTACTATTTGGCATTTTCAAATTGTCCCATCAACATACTTCTATGAGCCTTGGTAGTTCAGCGGGGTTAGCAAGGATAACATTCTATGCTGTAGAAAACTATAAAAATTAATGAAATCAACATTAAGACACTTAGACTTAACGTTACAATATGTCAATCCTGTTCATTTTCAATTTTTCTTTTTTAGAAAATCATCTTGGTTAAAACCCACTGGAGTTAAGAGCTCGCCGTAAATTACACAGTACGCCAATAATCCGGGTTCCGCCCCGTCCCAACGAACCGGTATGTGAAATCCACCAATATGCACTGCAGTAATGCGGCAACAACTTTAAATCCCTCTCAGATACGGGAGCAGGCCTGTACCCAGGAGTAGGACGTATGTAAGCTGTACAACGTAAATATTTGCAGTGTAACTAACGTGACCGCGTCCTGTTTTAAAAGGGACCGTCCCTTTTTTCGGTACCGGTCCTGGTGTACTCGAGGACAGCTTCGGGAAACAAAATTTTCCTGTTTTATAGCAACTGCAAAATTCGAACAATGCGTTAAATTTAAAGTGGCGTTCCAAAGGCGATTGGTGGCAGCTTGAGCCAGAACCGAGTTTGATGTTTCGCTGGCGGTGTGCTGCAATGAAAAAAGGTGTTAAGCAAATAAATAATCCCTGATGTCAAATGTGGAGAAGTAGTACATATTATATTGTTTGTTGTTACGTGATTCCAGTAACAAATGAAAATTTTAGATCTCCAAAACCAACCAGGCGATATCAATGTCAATTATTCAGCCCCTGTTTTAATAGAAAGTAATGAGAGTGCAAAAATTTTCGGATTTGTGATGTAAAAAGCAATTTCTAGCCTAGTAATCAGTGGTTTAGAAGCAGAGCCCATCATATTTTAACATAATTTACAAACCAATCAATATATCAAGTAAATTGATCTGTTAAAATACCCAAAAAAAAATTTATTACATGTCCTGTTTCCATTTAAAAAAGAAATGGTCAACTTAACTGAAACCCATGTTGTAATGTTGCATCAACTGACCCAAAAGCATTTTGTTTCAACATGATTTTTAAAATAAAATATAATTTTTATACCTTCTCAAAACTTAATTTTTCATCACAAAAAGTTGGCAGTATATATCGCTCTATACAGACTGAAACAAAGTCATAACTATGTTCATGTATATTGATTTGGGATTTAATCCTTTACAGGAGGCCATCTTAGCAAAGGCGGAGCTAGCTTAGTAGAGCTTGACCTCTGCGAAAATGCGGGTTAACATATGCGGGGTGGAAAAATAAGTCAAAGAAGATTCATTACGCCATTTATATAAGAAAACAACCTACCATTTGTCAACCATTCGAAGAAACAAAAAAAAAGTCGTAAACAAACTGCAGTTACAAATTTGTGGAGGCGAAAGTACGATTTTTTGCGGAAGTTACGCATTTCGTGTTGGGGGAGGTTTCTACTATAAACACTCTTATTGTAATGGCTTCTTATTACACAAACATTAGTCACCAAGACTTATTTTTGTAGATAAGATCTTGGTCTAAAGTAATAATTAAGTGTCTTGGCAACAAAAAGTAATGCTGACCAAAGAAATTCCAGTAACAGTGACAACTAGATGGTAGCTCTCTGCTTCTATAAGTGTTTCTTTGTTTGAAGTTGGCTGCAGGAGTCCATGGATTGCAGTAGTCACTGATTAATTGGTAGACCGCAGGTTTATTCGTATGGTCTCCTTTTGTTGTTTACTGCAGTTGAATAAGAAAAAGCAACTAAACTAAAAAACAGTCTCACTCTAAATATATTGTTCCCATTATCATCTTTAAATTTCGGGTTCAGTATTTTGGATGGATATTTTTTCACCATCAAAAATATCCATCCAAATTGAGATGCGGTAATTTGAAAAAACTTGGCCCTTAGAGTGAAACTCGAAGGTGGGTTGCATTGGCAGAAAGGTACCGCAAAACGAATCTTGTAATGTTGCCATTATCTGAAGTGGCATTGTGTCCAATTGCAGCAAAACGCGCCATAGAATTTTATATCCAGGGCACTGCAACATCACTTAGGTGCCACACTGTTACGTTGTGACCTTAATCTTAAAATAAGGCCTTAGTGGAGTGTTACGGGGAATGGGATGTTTGGTGTGCATGACTAATGTAGTACACTCCTGTATTACAGAATTGAACTAGGCTCTTTGTGTTATTGAATCTCAAGAAGACAGCTCTTTTTTGTGCCAGCAGTGTAATAAAATGGGGAAAAAGGATGCCACCTGTTACGGTACCTAAGTGTGGCAGAGAGCACAAAGTGCAACAAGCAGCATCCTGTTTCCCCATTTTAATGCACCGCAAGCAACGAGTCTTTAACATTAGTAAAGTATGGTTATTTATAAACACCTGATTAGTTTTAATAGTACCAAAACTCAAAATGAAACAAAGAAATAGAATGTCTTCAGGTGGTTTTAGACATTGAAATCTTAGCAAGCCTCAACTTTAGGCATTTTATCAATTCCAAGGCCTATTTCACAGCTAATAAACTATGTTTATTGCTGCATGAATTTACTCAGGCTCAATTTTGGTTTTGTACTGAGGTACCACTTACACTTATGAGCTGGCAAAAGACAATCAAGATCTGTAACCGCTGCTCTGGATTCATGTTGCATCAAGATGCAACGAGGTACAGTGCATTGATGTAGCACAAAATAAGGTGCTGCAATACACTAAATAACTGAAATTGTAACAATCAACTTTAATCTGCTGGTCTTACGCCCTCCCTTTACTCTCATTTCTTAGACAAGACTATAATTTTTATCTACATATTTTACATAAATGATAACTATATATTAAGAAAAATTAGTATAAACTTAAGTTGGAAACTTAAAGTAATACCAGGTACACATTCGTTCAAACTTAATGGCGGCTCGGAACATCGTACGTTCCGATGCGCAGAACACAATTTTTGGGTATCAGCGGGATGTAGAGGGACGTGGTGGCGGGGCACATCCCCGCGCGCGCTGCCGCGCGCCCTCTGTCTTATACGCACTCACGCGACGCGTTTGCTTTTAGTGTTTGATACGTACACTCCTGCTTACGTACAGTTGAGCCCATAATTTGTTACTGTTTGTTAATTGTTTTGTTACGTTTTTTTTGTTTGTTTTTGTTCCGTTAAGTTTTTATTGTTATTGACTGTTTTGTTTTCATCTGTGTGTTACACACATTAAGTTTTAGACTGATGTTTGTTGTGGGAAAGTACTTTTATTATTTTGTTTAAATATGCCTCGTGGACGATACAACGTTTTACGCAGGCAAGCCAGAAAAAATGGTGTATAATGTCGTGCAATTTATGAAAAAGGAGAGTGAAGACGGCGTCCAAATTCCTCTGAAGCTCGTTCAAAAACGAGCCGCAGCAGCTACAGGCGTCTCACTAAGGACTGTACAAAGAATAGCTGCAACAGCAAATGAGTCGGAGATGGTAGCCGTCTTTCGTACTCCTGGCAAAAAAAGGAAGGGAGTCAAGAGAGTGACGAATATTGACAGCTTCGACCAAGGTGTCATCAAAAGGTGCGTGCACAACTTTCGCGTGACTGAAAAAGAGTTGCCAACACTTAAACAATTACAAAGAAAATTAAAAGACGACATAAATTTCAACGGTTCTGTAACCAGCTTAGGCCGAATATTGAAACAATTAGGGTTTCAATGGAAGAACACTCAAAATGAGAGAAAAGTATTAATAGAGCAGTCTAATATTCGTTTACAGCGCATTGAATATCTGCATAGTATTACAAAATATCGCTCGGAAGGCAGACCCATTATATATACCGACGAGTCTTATGTCGATTCTTCCCACAGCATGTCAAAGGCTTGGGGAGATGGGTCACAAATGGGAGTTAAAAAGAAAGTTTCGAATGGTCAAAGAGTTGTAATAGTGCACGCGGGCTTCTGAAGCCGGTTTTGTACCCAACGCACTTTTAATGTTTAAGGCGGGTACAAAAACCGCGACTATCATGATAACATGAATTATGAAAATTATGAAAAATGAATCAAGAATCAACTCGTTCCAAATTTGCCAGCAAATTCAGTCGTTGTTGTAGATAATGCTTCTTATCACAACAAACAAGAAGATCCTGCACCTACCTCAAACTCAAGAAAAGCAGACATGCAATCATGGCTTCGTGAAAAAAATATTGAATTTGAGGAAACAATGCTGAAGCCACAACTATACAAGTTAATTGCGAAGAATAAAAAACGCTTCAAAAAATTTAACATCGATAAAATATTGAAAGAGAATAACCACTTAGTTTTACGCCTCCCCCCTTACCACCCAGATTTAAACCCCATCGAGATGGCATGGGTAGCAATAAAACAATACGTCACAAAAAAAACGTTAACTGGAACGTAAATTCAGTCATGGAATTGGTCCAGCAAAAAGTTTACGAAATGGGTGAAAATGAATGGGGGGCATTGTACCGAAAAGTGATCAAGATAGAGGAAGAGTACAAAAAAAGTGACGTTGTCGTTGATAGATTGACGGAAGAATTTATAATCCATGTCAGCGACGATGAATCAGATACTTACCGAGTCTGAGGAGGAATCAGATTCCAGCGAAGACGAAGGAAGTGATGTTTCCATGGGAGCTCCTTCCACAAGCAAAGACGTTTTTATGGAAGGGATACAGCCCTTAACTTAAAATGAAAATAAAAACTTTATATATTGTTTATAAAATCCGTTTTATTTTTAACGAAAAAAGGATGAGGTTCTTAATTCATCTGTATTTTTCTTCCTTGAACTTTCCTAATACTTGCTAACTGACATTCATGTACTAAATGTACGGAACTTAAAACACAAAACTTTCAGTTATTAAAACAATTAAATTGAGCCTAAATTTTTGTCAACTTGACTGTACCTGCACGCACCTGCACTCGCAGCTAACTTCCGAACCGCCATTAAGTTTGAATCGAATAATACTATGGAACAGTATCCTATCTTCAAAAAAAAATCCTCACTATAATATTTCCTCATTCGTATATCAGAAGCATAGAGCAATAAATTGTCTATTTAGCAAGGAATAGACTGTAATAGAGACAGTACAGACGTATATAAATATTCCTCATGATGTTATAGAATATTTATATAACATTCATTTGTGGGGCTCTTTATTACGCCAGCAATGATATGTGTATGATATATTGGTGACACCTATCTAGAGACAGGTACTACCAAATCTCTTTGAGGCGTTAAACAGCCATTTTAATTACAGGTTGTATAGAATGTATCTATGGGCTTTTTTATTAGAAATCGACTACAGATGCCCATAAACTATTGTAACCACTTACCATAAGGTTGACTGTTAACTCATTACATATTGACCTATGTCTATTTATAATTTATTACTTGATATTCTTTATTGCTAATACTAAGAAGAAGCTCAAATCTCTCAGGAGGCTCAGGGGGCAGTAATAACATTATCTACAGTAACATAAAACAACATACCTAACAGATGATGACCAGACAGATTATCAATACAATAATATATTGGTTGTGAGTTTGAAGTCACACCCAAAAGGGAAAAAGGTTATTTAATAGGAGCCCCAGTCCTGGCAAGCGAAGTGTAATATAATGAATGAGTTATGTAAGAAATTGATAAATTAAGTTGGATTAGGACTATTACAGAACACTGGACTGTAACAATATTTAAGGTAAGCTAAAGTGAAATGAACTGTAAAAATAGTGATATTGATAATACCACAGATAAAACTACAGATAGTCCATACACAAATATCAAATTCTGTAAGAATTGGTAATAAACCTAAGATATTAAAATACAAATTTGAACTGTGTATAGAATTTTATTACAACACCCAATCTTACACAGTTTCTGTCAATAGCTCAACAAAGGATGGATTTTGCCTCCTTTGTGTAACTTTTAAATATATAATTCCCTGTTTTCATAGGTATATTGAATTCTATGTTATGTTTTAATAAGTTTCTACGTTGAGTTTGTTAAGTCCACATATTTAAAATGTGGTTAATTGGATAGATTCTTATAGAAAAGGTACTTCGTGAATATTGCAAAATGTAATTAAAATTACTTACTAAGCCTCATTTGTGAAATTTGGCGTTTGTGGTGGATCCATACTATGCAGCTGACAATACAAAACATCAAAACAAAAGTAACACATATCAGGAATTGCTACAGTTTCATGGTAACCATTTATTGGTCGTTCTACATTATTACTATACGAGTTGTTCAATTTCTGTTTTTTGGTTCCACAAAATACTGAAGACATATTGATAGGTACAAATCAAAGTTAAACCAAATCTAACAATAAGAGACAAAGCAGTCAAACAAATTCACAACATTCACATACATTTACTTTTTGAATGAAAAGTGAAATTTTGTAAAACTGTGAAACAGATTAAAAAGTCTGCAAAATATTTTTTATCTTTTGTCATTTTGTGAAACGAACACGAGAACCATAGATAAATGGATATGTTACAGTACGTTTGCACTGAGAAACATCCAACAAGTAATGTTTTGAAACAAATCGCATGAAATAAATCACACAACATGTTTTGTTGATGGTGGCGTTCGCACTCACAAAAACTGTGTAAAATTTTCAACAGATATCAAGATTTGTTTTTAGCTGTGTTCGCATTGAATACAACATAAACATTCTACTTGTTTATCTATAGATTTGTCAACGTTAGCGTTCGCACTGTTGTTTTTTTATATTTCGCGATTTGTTTTAAATCGTGTTTTTCTGTTATCCAATTTAGTTGCAAAACATCACAAAACATTATCAACCCTAGCGGAGACGAATGATAACTTTATACAAAATATATATGTTGTATCATCATCATCATCATCATTACAGTCCTTCACAAGTGCACTGCTGAACATAGGCCTCCCCCAAGGTATGCCACAAAGCACGGTCCTGACTCGGGACTCCTGAGCTACCTGCATCCATCGACTACCTGCATGTCTTACCAGGTCGTCACTCCATCTAGTGGGGGGTCGCCCTACACTTCGCCTACAGGTACGAGTCTACCACTCGAGAACCTTTTTTCCCCAACGGTTGACGGTTCTACGAGCTACATGGCCGGTCCATTGCCACTTCAGATTACTAATCCGTTGGGCTATGTCGGTCACTCTGGTTCTACTGAGGATATTCTCATTTCTAAGTTTATCACGCAGAGAAACTCCGAGCATAGCCCTCTCCATAGCTCGCTGAACGACTTTGAGCGTCCTCATACGGCCAGCAGTGAAGGACCACGTCTCGGTTCCGTAGGTCATCACTGGCAACACGTACTGGTTGTACAATTTAGTTTTCAGGTATTGAGGTATACCTGACGAGAAGACGCATCGTAATTTCCCGAACGCTTCCCAGCCGAGTTGAATTCGTCGATTGACCTCTCGGTCGAAGTTGGACTTACCCAGTCGGACTATTTGTCCCAGGTAAACGTACTCGTCAACAACTTCGAGCTTAGTGCTCCCAACAACTACCGGCATAGGTGTGACACGGACATCATTTGTTTTGTCCATGTTCATCCTAAGACCTGTCCATTGAGAGGCACTATTGAGTGAAACTATTAAATGTGGTATATATCTCCACAAATTCCATCTTTATCATTAATCAGATTATCTGAAATTCTCTCGTGTGGCGGAAAAATTAAGTCTTTTTTTTTGGGGTATTTTTTTAGGTTGCCTGTCCCAGAGCTCGATATAAAAGAACATAATAAAATACAATACAAATTTCTAATTATTTATTCAATTAAAATACATAACTTAAAAAAGAAACGTAGAAAACTGTTTATCAAATAATTTAGTTTGTCACTGCCATCTTCATAATGTGTTTTAAGTGACAAGAAATTTTTGTTCCACATGTTCTACTAATTATATATATGAGAAAGAAATATGAAAGCATGTACCACCTTTCTCTCAAAATTTTACAAAGCTTACCATAGTTTAGATTCTAATAATCTGTATTCCTTGGAGATATACAGGGTTATTTTGTGATAACCGGTCAAATTTGCAGAGAAGGTTCAAGATAACTAATACAGGCCGTTAAAGACAAATCAATTTTAAAAAATCTTAAACTGTGTATCCTTTTTATCTCTTAAATTCAAAATGCGCAGTAATGCATTGGAAGTGATTTTACTGCACACGCAAACATTCGTTAATAACAAGCTTGTCGCCATCTCGGTGAGTCACTTAGGCATGTCAAAGTACTTACACAGGCACAACCTAGTAGCCAGAATTCTACACCAGGAGCTCGCTCTGAAATACGGTCTCGTGGATCGGAAACTGCCTTATTATAAGTACTTACCGGAAGTCGTGCTCGAAAATGACCGTATTATTGTATTTATTTTATTTTACTGATATTTATGTATATTTATCTTTTCATTTTCATTTATATATATAGAACCCATCCAGATGAGAAAACTATATAGATACCCCACATAATAATAATAATATTTATTGAATCCAAACATAATTTACATAAAAACATAAATTTATAAAATTACATTGATAAGACGTAAATCTAACTCAATAGTATATTAAGGTATCTTTAGCAACCGTGCTAGGTCACAGACCTGTGTTACAGCTGCTAAGCCCTCCCCATTAAATACATACCAAATAGAAAAACAAAAACATAAAAACAATTTTACCACAATCAAGAAATTAATAAAAGTTCTAGTCTGACAAATGGCTCAATACTATTATAGCTAAATGTTTAGTTGTATGGTACAAGAGTAAGGCAGGGGGAGATATTCTATAAATGTGTCACACACTTATATTAATATTCGAATGTTATAGTAAACGTTTACAAGAACTTATTCTATATTTCACATAAAAATAATTGAAACTTAGTGACTCAGTTAATATTTCATTTTCTTAAAACAATAAAATATAATATGCAAAATGTTCATTTAATATTGGAGATTTGTTAATCACAAACCAATATTACAAGTTTAGAAGTAAGTGTAAAATTAATACGTAGATGCCAGTGTGTAGTATACGAGTGTGACGTGTGTGTGTGTGTGAAAGAAGTAGTGAGTGTGTGTTGTTATTTTGCTTCACAGTTTGCATTTTTAACTATCTATATTTAATAATTTTACAGTTTCCTCGTAAGTTAAAGACATTAAAACTTAGTTAGAGCTTGCTTATATTTGAAACATGTTAGTCGACCAGTAGGCAAAAACGTTGTTGCCCATAAATCGGATTCAATTTGGGATAGTTGCAAATAAAAGAAGAAGCTTTATTTACCGATAATTCCAAAAACTGCAATAACATTGTATCATTATTTATGAATTTAAGCTTAAGTTTCGAATTTGATTACTCTGAAAAATATAATATAATATGTATATAATGGCAACAATATTTATCATTTTATCAGTCTGAACCCAAAGGGTGTTATAAAGATTGTTATACTAAGCCTACAATGTTGGGTCTTGCAGGCTTAGTATTACAGTCCAGACGGAATGTGACAGCCATGCATCCGACATCGCCGCGGCGACTAGTATATGTATACTGGCCGCCTAATAGCAGGTGATTCTAAGGTACAGAATTACATTTCTCAAACTTGCATAATACTAGAACACTACTAAAGGGAGACAAAATTTCTTTAGCAAAATTAATTCTGTCTATTAAGTCATTAGATGAGTTAAAAATAGGAAAATAAAAATCAATACTGATTACAATATTTCAATTACCTATGTAAAAAAGGATAAAATAATATAGAAGATTTACAATTATGAATGTATTGATAATAACATGCACAATTAAAAACCCTAGCTTGTCTACAATACCCAAGATAGCAATATTTGAATCAAAAACAAGTTAAATAATAAATAAGCTCATGTACACAAGACCAGAGTAAAACCAGCAAATAATAATTTAATTTTGATAATAATTGGTTGTCTATTTATTTCCCTGATTTAAAATTAACCTTAAAATGTTGTCTCTATATTACATGCTTGCAGTTACGACACTGACCTCTATATATACAAGTACACTGGACTGGCTATACACCGTGATATGATGAAGCGATTTGATTTCCGCCATTTTGGCGCTGACAGCAGAAGTGCACGTCCACGGAACTAATAATAGGGATGAGAGAGTGTACCAAATTATATCGATAAAAATTCTACCTATTACCTTCTACCTTTACCTAAATAAATAGAATGTACTCTATGGATAGATGGACTCTACCCGTAACGTCCATTCTATTTATGTATCATACTAATATAATACCATTATCATTCATCAACATTAAAACCCTTCACAAGTCCACTGCTGAACATAGGCCTCCCCCAATGAATGCCACAAAGCACGATCCTGAGCTACCTGCATCCATCAACTTCCTGCATGTCTTACCAGGTTTGGACTCCATCTAGTGGGGGAACGTCCTACACTTCACCTGCCGGTACGAGGCTGCCACTCGAGAACCTTTTTCCCCATCGGTATTCGGTTCTTCGAGCTATATGGCCGGTCAATTGCCACTTCAGCTTACTAATCCATTGGTAAATGTCAGCCACTCTGGTTCTGCTGCAGATATCCTCATTCCTAAGTTTGAACCCCTGAGCATAGCCCTCTTCATAGCTCGCTGAGCGACTTCAAGCTTCCTCATACGGCCAGCAGGGAATGACCTCGTCTCAGATCCATAGGTCGTCACTGGCAACACGGACTTGTTGTACAATCTAGTTTTGTGGTATTTCTGACGAGAAGATGTGTTGTAATCTCCCGAACGCTGCCCAGCCGAGTTAAATCCGTTGATTGACCTGTTGATCGAGGTTGAACTTACCTAGCCGGACTATTTGTCCCGAGTAAAAATACTCGTCAACAACTTCAGCTAAGTGCTCCCAAAAACCACCGGCATAGGTGTGACATGGACATTACACATGACTTTTGTTTTGTCTATGTTCATCTTAAGACCTATCCGTTGGGAGACACTATTGAGGTCATTGAACATAGTGTGTAGGTCCTCCAGCGATTCTACCATAAGGACTACATTGTCGACAAACCGAAGGTGAGTGACGTACACGCCATTGACGTTAACACCGTATCCTTTTCAGTCCAGTAGCTTGAAGACGTCTTCCAATGCAGCGCTGAAGTATTTCGGGGATATTACGTCACCCTGTCTTAAACATCTCTACAGTTGAATTAGTTTTGTACTCTGGTTCTTTACTCGGATAGCCATCGTAGCCCTTAGACCATTCAACTAAAAAATTATTAAGATTAAACTATCTACACAAAATAAAAAAACATAGTTTCTAAAATAATTTG